CTCTTCCGATCTCCCCAAAACCCCAAAACCCCTCGATTGAATATAATAGATTAATTGAATTTTAATTGTTCAAATTTATTATTTATTAAGACCCAAGAATATTATCAGTCAGCGTTTACTGTATGACGGGCACCTCCTGCTGCATTTGTATTGCTTGCAGGAGAAGCATTATTGCCAGCAGCATTATTAGCTCTATTAGCTGCATTCTAGTCCGTTGCTTGATTTTCTCTGTTCTAATCATCTTGATCTGAATCCCAGCCTTCCATAGCATCCAGCATTTCTGAGTCTTCTCCATTTTCTTCTTCCATTGCTAATCTCTCATACTCCGATTTAGCAAATCTGTCCCACTCACTGAAAATTATTAGGATAATGATACATACCTGTAATTAGGAAACTCTGTTTATTGATGTTTTATTGCAAATAGATCTCTAGTTTCATATGCAATAAATTTATTAAGGTTGACTAAGCAGTTGAAGAATATACCAATTTGCTGATTATACTTTTTTAGTTCTAGAAATGAGAAATGACCCTCTTTTTTCGGCTTTATCATATCATTCATTTGACATAATAAGTCAACGAACAAAATTGGCTCGTGATTTAGATATTCTAATCTATGGACCTACTCCTCATAGAAGTATTCCATTTCATGAGGAGTAATTATTTCATTTTAATCGAGATCTATAATAGAGAACCAGTATTGCAAACTTCGGAAGGTAGTCTTATCTTCCTCAGATAGCATAAACCATACAAAATCTTCATAACCCATTTTATCCTTGACTCCGGATTTGAATTTTCTAGGAATTTAGTCAAAAATTCTATCCACTGCCTTTCTTGACAAAGCATGCCCTTCATACCTAGAAAAATCTTCTTTATCTATTAGGAAGTCATGATCAGTATCCAACTCCCAGAATCTGCAATAGAGAACATAAAAATGCTCATAAGAGAAGTATTCTCTTATTTTATTGATATCCTCCTCAGCAGCAACATTGAAAAATACATCCTTTAAATTCGATCTTTTGAAGTCTCTATAGGTAATCTTTCCATCATCATTCGAATCTACCAAGTAAAATATCCTCATGCCAACTGTATCTGAATATCTATCCTAGAATTCAGGAGTTTATTGTAGGAATTCAAGACCTGGATGAGTTTCAAGCAGTTACTTAAAAAGAGGCTTTAAATCATCGGTCGCAATATATTCAACGCCTGGCTTAGCAATAATTTTAAACATGCGCTTTTTTACATCTATCTTTTCAAATTCTCTTTTCCAAAAATGGAGGAAATGCTGTTTATTAATTTTTCCAGTCTTCCCAGAATCTATTCGTTCAAATAGGACATTCATAAAGAACTTCGGCAGCCCGCATACATCTGTAGTTATCTAATCAAATTCTTCTTTTTTAAGTTCTGGCTTTCCAGTAAAAATTTTCTCTATTGTTTCATCAGATGTCTTCTATACCTCTGATTCAATAGGTTTGCCTTCAGGGAAATAGAATTTCGGAATATCTGGTTGCCTCATTTGCTATTATTGGACTATTTATTGTTACTGTACACTAACTTGAGGCTAAGGAATCGGCTAAGCTGCTTATTTTTCTTGTTATCTTTGTCTCACTATCTAAGCCATAGCTTCGGTGTCTGTCTTCGCAAATTTTTCATTAAAGGGATTTTTAGATTTAGGACTACCATAAGAACTTGGATGAATCTCTTCTAAAGAAATCGGCTAGCTCAATTTAGGATCAAGTAAATTCACAGTCTACTTTGGACTCAAAGTTCTTCCCATGAATTTCTCTCCTGATGGCGATCTTGGAGGTGTCTGTCCTTTAGGTGAAGTTTGACTGTTCAATTTAGAAATGAAAATAGGAGAAGGTGGGGCTAACAAAGTTGGGCCAGGCTTGTGTATCTCATTTATGAACTGGTTAATAAGCTTATTAGTTTAAGGTGCTGATATCCATTTGAGAAACAGAGAGTCAATTTATTATTTTGCTAGTTAGTATCGCACATGATGTGAATATGTGCCATTCAATAGCTCCATTATAATTCTAATTCAAATCTTTACTAATATTTAAATTAATAATTTAACTTATTATTTGTAGAAGAATGCAAATATGATTAGGTTATTTGGGGTTTTGGGGTTTTGGGGTTTTGGGGAGATCGGAAGAGCACACGTCT